TATTTAAATACATGCGATGCAAATACATGGGAGGAGCACAACAGTACATGAACAGTAGGTGAACAACTGCATGGGGGCTATTTACATGCAGTCACATCTATTAATTTGGCCAGGTGCATTAAAATACTGCACCAAAGTGGGACGCTTAGGATTGCTTGCTGTAAGAACTCCTAGGGGTTGCTAGCAATAGTTTTGTCCATCTTGCAGGGCTATAAGGCTCTGAAGGGTTTCAGCCGCCAGTAACGGCATGTCAGCCTCTTTTATCTAAAAATAACAATAATGATAACAAAAAAAATGTGGCACTCAAAGGAAGCAGAGGGCATTAATAATTGAGTAACACAGAGAGATACACGTTCTCTGTGGTATGGTCTCAGAGTATTGGGGTCAACGCTTCGCTCTGTGTTCCAGGGAATCTCTCCCACGAGGACTACGCTGAGCTCATTCCACATGGTGCCTGATGGAAGAGCAATTTCATTATAAAGCAACGTTATCGGGGTCTCTGACTTAACAAGTCACCCGTTTTCTGTTTTAATCAACACACTTATCATGCTCGAACTTGTCTATTCAAAATTGTAACATAATTAATTCAAATTATTTCAAGGACTGCCATCCTCTAGAGACTACAGTGTAAAAATGTTTTGTCAGCTAACCTATAAAACATACTTCACCCGAACATAACTGGTTTTAAGTTCAAAAATATTGTTTAATATCAACCATGAGACTGCACCAATGAAAGCATTTTTTAAGGGTCAGATGAGGTACGTAACCATCGAGTGAACAAACAAAAAGTGGGGCAGTATTGTTAGATTTGTGATGGTGCACTTAGTTTTTTGTGATGCCATGATCCTAACAAACAAAAAATATATTAAAATAATAATATATTAAAAACAATATTTAAAATAACTCAAAATTGAAAAAAAATGTTTAATGTAATTTGGTGATTGTGGATGTTTTAACATGTTTTGTGTGTTTTTTTTTTTTTACTGGTTAGCAAGTTTAGCAACTATGTTTGCTGCAATGTAGAACTACAGAACGTTGTCATAATACATTTCTTCTTTGAAAAGTGATAAAAGTTGGAATTTTGTTGAATTAGGTCTGTGAAAAGCATGTCACCTTAGTCTTAACATGGTCAAGGTGTTTTTTGAAAAATTATAGCTGGTTTATTTTGATCAAGGTACCAGGTCAGTCTCTGCCTGACCAGCTGATGATCTATCATCTACATCAGTCTACATCATGACCGTATGAGCAGCTTGCACCAGCTAAACACCATGTAAACCATCAGAAAGAAGAAACACAAACTGCATTAAACTTGTTGTGCTGCTGATTTTTGTGGAAACCATGATACAATATTTTTCATGATTCTTTGATGAATAGAAAGTTTGGATTTTTCAGAAAGTTCAGAATAGATTTTTTCTTGCAACAATGTAAAAGTCTCTATTGTCACTATTGAGCAATGTAATCCATCCTCGCTAAATAGAAGTATTAATTTCTTCAAAAATATTTGAATGCTATTGTATCTCATATCTGTTCTATATCATGCTTTAACGTTTTAACTAAACATCTTTTCTTTCGCAGCTTGAACACAAAATGAGTAACATCTACGAGTCTGCTGCCACCACGCTGGGCCTCTTCAACAGCCCATGTCTTACAAAAGTGGAGCTCCGTGTGGCCTGTAAAGGAATATCTGACAGAGATGCCCTGTCCAAGCCTGACCCCTGCGTCGTCCTCAAGATGCAGTCCCACGGACAGTGGTTCGAGGTGTGTTCGTGTCCAGGTTTTATTTTCTCTAGCACAAACAGAATGATGTTTTTCACGAAGGAACATCTCATTTTCACCTGCACAAAAACACAATCTATCGTATATGTAGGCTTCTTTTCATAACAGTTCAAATGGATTTTTTCATACATCATTTCAAAGAAACAGCTGTTTGTGTGTCACACCCTAGATATTTCATCCACTCACAAACTCCCTTTCCTCACTTTGAAATTGCTGTGCATGTAGTGACTTTTTAGCAAACTTCTGATATTATAGTAAGTTTCCGAGCATACAGTACTTTAGTAATAATCCTTTCACAAACACTAATCTGGACTGAACAGAAGCTACCAGAAGAACTGGCTCTTTATGAAACTGAATGTGTTCATGCATGTGTGTATGCCTGTCAATGGCTGATTAGTGTTCTGAGACTGTAGTCTCAGCTGTGATGCTTTGATGTGAAAGTAATATAAAACAGCACCGTTAGATCACAGAAAGTGCTCTAATTGTCACGTTGTCTTGTGCCTCGCTATTAAAACCAAAGACAAGGACGTGCAGTGCTGCAAAAACTAATGTGAATTGGCCTGTTCGTTTTTGCTAGGTATCTGTGAAAGGTTTCAGTTGTAGTACAAAACAGGTGTTTCTGGCATACGGGGTTTTGCTTGGTACAGTTAAGGGTATGATCCATAATTAATAAAGCAGTGCCATTTGAACTCCAGCTGTGAGCAGTGAAGTTTAAAAAAAAGTGATGTGTTTGAAACCATATAAGTGGATTGAAGGCCAGCAGTCTGGAGAATCTCACGAAACCTGTGAAGAAAATGTCCTGCTCATATTTCACTTAAAACAGGTAGTTATTTTTTATATATTTAGAAGACTAAGCAGGTTTTAAGAACCATAAATATGGCTTGCATTTGGATGTTATTCCCGAGATAATTATCCACATTCACCCTACATTTTTCTCCACTATTGTAAAGCAACCAAAAGTCTCATTTTCATATTCTTGTTGCTGTCATGTGACAAAAAAGTTATATTATCTGAAGGGATAGTTCACCCAAAAAATTACAAATCTGTCATAATTTCTGTCATCACCTTCATGTTGTTCCAAACTTGTATGAATTTCTTCCTTCTGTGGACCATAAAACAAGAAATTTTGAGAAATAGTGCATTTTTTTGTTCATACAATGGAAGTCAATGGTAACCAAAATGTTATGTTATGTTAATTCTTCATAACTATCCCTTGAAATTGATACTGATATAATTTGATTGCTTTATCAAATTTGATTATTTTTACTGATACTATTTGATTTAAATTTATGCTTATTTTAATTTAACAATACTATTTTTACTGCTATACAACAAATATTACTATATATAATGGGAGTAGTGAAAGAGGAATTGCCAGATGCATTACAGTAATGAAAACTGAAAGAATGAAATATAAATGTGTTTAATTATTCTGAAAATAATTTCACAAGTGCAAGAAAGACTTTTAGGCTTAATGCCTTAGATTTAATGTCTTTATGCAAAATGTTTTATTTTTACACATATCATTTGTCATATCATAACTTTGGGGTCAGTAAGATTTTTTAATGTGTTTGAAAGAGGTCTCTTATGCTCACCAAAGCAGAATTTATATATAATGATATGTACATTTATGTATGTTTATTTACATTATATATATATATATATATATATATATATATATATATATATATAATTTTCAGCATTTTCAGAATTTTCGGCAGCCATTACTCCAGTCTTCAATGTTACATGCTCCTTCAAAAATCAATCTGATATGCTGATTTGGTACTTAAGAAACATTCTTATTTTTATTAATGTTGAAAACAGTTGTGCTGCTTAATTCTGTCATAGAAAGTTCAAAAGAACAGCATTTACTTAAAATATATTTTTAACAATATAAAAGTCTTTACTGTCACTTTTAAACAATATGTTCTTGCTGAATAAAAGTATTAATGTAAAAATTTCACCGACCCCACATTTTGTGTATTCTTGACACGCTTTGTCAGATTCACTAAATTATTGACGGCACATATTTGGGATTGAGTATAGTGCTATTTTAAATGGTTTGTTATTGTCGTAATGCCACTAATAACCTTTCACAAACTCGATTTGCACTTTAAGCACAATAACCCCATTGTTCTATGGTTCTATTCAGCTAAGGGCCGTTGACATTGATTTGAGATGCGACTGAATGTGAACTGAATTGATTCAGGATATGAACTGGATTAGGGGGAAATCATTGTCATCATCCAAACAATCAGCCTGTAATAGGACAGGGAAGGATGTCATTGATCCTACCTCCTAGAAATGTGAATTAAATGAAAACAGCAGAGCTGGAGTGTGACAGTTGCCGTGTTCTGATTGGTTCCAAAAAGCCTTTTCACACCAAAAGTGAAATGAATAAGCCTCAGGCTGAAGGGAAAGTAAATTTACGTCCGTACAGTAGAATGCAGAAGAAGAAATTTCAACACACTTCAGGAATAAAAAAAGACACTTTCAAGACAATTTTTGCTTATTATTATGGTTAAACTGGATCATCGAAGATCAGAAGCAAAGACATTGGTTAATAGAATGGGATTAAATACATAAAGGATATTTGTGTCTAGAGTAATTTTTGCTTATTAGTATGGTTGAACTGGATCATCGAAGGTCAGAAGCAAAGACATTGGTTAATAGAATGGGATTAAATACATAAAGGACATTTGTGTTGTTTAACATTTAATTATTGCAGGTTTGCGTCATATTCTGAGTTGCATTATTTTTATTAATTTTGTGGAATACTGAATCTGTGTTTTTTTGATGAGTGAGATGAATTAATGCATATTCATATTTATTTTAGAACTACAATAACATCTGATTTCTCTCAACATGGGGACAAGAGAGCTGTCAATCAATAAATTGAAAAAAAAAGTAACTTGCGTTACTTATTTGAAAAAGTAACTCAGATATTCTCTTGTAAATTAAAAAGTAATGCGTTACTTTACTAGTTACTTGAAAAAAGTAATCTGATTACGTAACTTGCGTTACTTGTAATGCGTTACCCCCAACACTGAATATTTTTTAAAAAGAACACAAAACATTCCATTTATTTTGTCTAAAGCTTCAATAAACTAGAACAAGAATATTTCATATGATATTAAAAACTTTATTTTTTTAACTATTATTTAATTTACCATTTTTATATGAATTTAGTCAGATTACACTAAAAGAAAAAAATCATTAGAAAAATGAAAGACGTACTAGTAATTTAACAGTATTCGTTACATTTATGAATATTTCCTTTAACCCTAAAACACAACACAGTGCATAATTCAACATAAAGTTAAAACACCTGCGAAAAATCAGGAGAATATGGAAAATTCCTTCATATTTAGGTTTGTTAGGGTTTACAAGTCTGGTTTGCAGTCTCTATGCATGTATCTGTTTGCCTCATGTCCTCTCCTCTTCCTTCATAGATTGTATCACAGAGAAAACTGTCCAAAGCTTTATTGAAGCAAGGAAACACAGCTGGCAAATCATCTATCACAGTAAGAATAGACGTCTCACCCCCAATGAATTCACACTGCAAGTTTATGCTCTTTTGTCATAACCTGAGCGATGACTTCTTGGAAACCACAGGTCACAGCTGAAGAGCTGTCTGGGAATGATGATTACGTGGAGCTTGCCTTCAGTGCCAAGAAACTGGATGACAAGGTGTGACATCTGGATAACTGCTCAACAGGCACTTTGCAACAATATTGAGACAAACAATAACAAACTGATCTTTATCTGTTCTCCTTACTGTTTTATTACTCTGGTTTATGAATAGACAAAATTCAAATGGAGCAATGCATCATCTACTACTTTATTAAAATATACTGGTATTTTTTATTTTTCATTAAAAAATTAGGACAACGTTTAGTCTAAATACACAGTGTACCATTTAGAAAAACAAGAAACGATGTGCATTCAGATATAGTCTCTAAATGAGAGAAAGTCAGGATGCAATAATAATTTATGTATAGTGTATGAATCTATCAAAAATTCATTAATGCTCAAGTGTGTCATTTCTGCACCGGTAGTGCCACCAAATGAAAATGCTTTTCAAAAGAGCTTCCAGAACACTTATGTTTGTAGATGTTATATTTACTTTACAAACAAGAATAAGTTTGATTCTTTCTTTGTTTAGGACTTTTTTAGCAAGTCGGATCCATTTCTGGAAATCTTCAGAGTGAATGATGATGGCACAGCATCACTGGTGCACAGAACAGAGGTGAGATTGATAGATGCACACAAATGCATATGAAATACATATTGAAGAAATATAATGTACACGTATCAACTGGTAATTTTTCTGTTTATAGACCATTATGAACAATCTGAGTCCTGTCTGGAAATCATTCAAAGTTTCTTTAAACACACTCTGCAGTGGAGACCATGAGCGGGAGTTAAAGGTATGACAGATATTTTGACTATATCCTTTATTCATTTATCAAAAACCTAACCAGTTGCATACTGTTGTGATAACTAGAGAAATATTTCTGACATAAAACAGTGAATCAATCCGGTATACTGCAGCAATGTGATCACACTCCATATGAGGCTTTTATGTCAGCGTAGTTTTTTTTTTTTTTGCTCTTTATTCTGGTCTCAGCATGACCATTTGGTCACATTAGATTAGAATCATCTTGGCAGATTCATGTAATGGCAGTCCTATCCATTCTGCCTCACCATTGCAGCTGACATCTTTCATAGTGAGCTAATTACTGAGCGGGTAAATGGAGCCCGGCTGTTTGGAGGGTCCTGACAGTTTCCCGAGAGGAACAGACACGGTGGAACCAACAACAGAAATTGATGTTACTGCCCTTTAGTCCATTCAAGTCCACACAGTCCTCCTGGGTTGGAGAACTTTCTGTCTTTGGGTCCAGTTGTAAAAAGAACACTAATAAGACTCTACGGCAGTGGTCACCAACCTTTTTAGGCCCAAGATCCCTGACCACGGCCTTTATGAAAGACACAGTGTTAAGTAGCCCAATTCCGTGGGAAATCCGCGGACTTGGCAACACTGCTTATGAACCGACCATAGCGTTTCCTTGGTTACCGCTGTAAACAAAGCAGAGTTGCGCTTTATACGGAGAAGAAAATGCCATTGCCATCGAAACTTTTCTCAAGACAGTACCCTTCAGTGATACATTAATATAACCCCATAAATGTAATGCATTTTTTTACTTATTTTACTGTTTTTTTCGGGATCTACTGGGACAGTGATAAAGATCTACCAGTCGATCGCGATCGACGGGTTGGAGACCACTGCTCTATGGAGAGCAAGAAGTCCTGTTATTTGAACGATACGACAGATTTGGGATAAGAAAGTTAGATTAGACTCAAAGTATCATTCCGTTGACTTCCCATACTGTATGTGCTGTGGCATTCAAGTCCTTTTTAATATTCTGTATTCTTTTTAATATTCTGTATTTTCGTTTCTGTGTTTAACATAGCAAATTGAAACTGTTTTATTGACTGCTGTTCAAAAGTTTGAGGTCAGTGAGATTTCTTTTTTTTTTTTTAAAGAAACTTCTATTCAGCAAAAATTCATTACATTTATCAAAACAAAAGTGACCACAAAAATTTGAATATATTAATAATAATAGGAAATGTTTCATGGCATATTATAAAGAATAATGGCTGCTGAAAATTCAGCTTTGCCATCACAGGAATAAATGTCATTTTAAAATATATTAAAATAGAAAACGGATATTTTAAATTGCAAAAAAAAAAAAAAATCACAATAAAGTTTTTCACAGTTTTTACTGTATTTGTCATCAAAAATAAATGTAGACATGGTGAGCATAAAAAGATTAAAAATTTAAAAATCTATAACTAACCCTAAACGTTTTAATGGAAGCATACTTGTGAGATTACATATATATTTATTTAACAATCTGATTTAATATTAATGTACAGTTTATATGAATTTATATAATACATAAAGTATTTATTAAAATGAAAACACAAAGTTACTGAACATTTTTGCTCAGAAGGTTCTGTAATGGATGTTTTCAAAAACGTTTGACCAGGAATAATCTTTTTTTTTTTTTTTTTACCAAATATAGAAATGAAAAAGCTTATATAATGTTTATTATAATGATGTGAGTCTGTTGTCAGATGTTGGTTTTTCATTGCTACTCTATGTTATTTCTATCTTATTTCTTTTAAAATACATTGATATTGCCATGAAAATAGTAATAAATCTGGTATGGCAATAAAAACAAGCAAAGACAGATTATTACGATACATTGCAGTTGTTCAGTAAAAACTGCAGCATTGAAATCAGATCTATTCCATTTAATAATTTACCTGTAGTGTGTATGTGTGTGTGTTTGTAGTATCACCCTGTAACTACTTTTTAATAGCATGAAGTTTGTATGTGTGTGTGTTTGCTTATTTATTAATGAAAGTTCCTAAGATTGTATTACTTTCCTTCTCTTCTCTTTAATCTCTCTCTCTCTGTCACACACACACACACACACACACACACACACACATTCAGATCTCAGCAATGCAGGTGTAAGGTCCTCATTGGTATGCCAATGCAGAAGTGGGGATAGGAGAGCTGTATCGTAATAATCTGTCTTTAAAGTTGCTTCTCTTTGTATTCTCATAACGGCGCAGAGTTTAGATGAGATTTAGTCATAGCACTACACTGAGATTCTGCACAAAAGCTGTATGAAAGAAAAGCCTTTTTGAAACGTTCACATACTGTGCAGGTGACATTTCAGAGAAAGTGAAAGATACGGGGCAAGAAAGAGACAGAGAGCAAAATTAAGAGCTAATGTCTCGGTATGTTTAGTTGAGAGCTGAATCCTTTGATCAGCTCCATGCTGGCACTTTACGTTGCTGCTCTCAGCTTTACTTGAAAATAACCACCACTTACAGCAAATTAACTAATGCTTTAAATGCTTGGAAACAAGCCACTCTGAATTAAGCCTTTGGCAATTATACTAAGTGGCTGAATGAGCAGTTGTGCAACATGTTCATTTAAAGCTGGTTAAATGACATTTTCAATCTAAAATTCTCAAACATTGTTGATTTGAATCCAAATATTTATAGGTGATGTTGGACAGTCAAGGACATTTATAGTCAGACAGATGGGAAAACAGTTATTTTAGGAGACATGTCCCTGAATAAACATGAACTGGTTTGTTTAATATTCATGACTTCTTTACACTCAACGCACTACAGACAGCAATGTCTCCGCAGTGAAAACACACACTGAATTCAGATTCACAGAGTTACAGAGCCAATGCAGTTAAGTTTTATTCCTGTTGTATAAGACTAGGCAGTTAAACCTTCTTGTTATGTTGAGAGCTCACAATCACTCTGCTGTTTTGCTGGGTTAAATTTTTCCATTCTTTCATGCATATCTGAGCCCCATCTGTTGTAAAGCATGATACAATTGCATAAACCCATTTATGCAAATTATGTCATAACATTTTTCTAGAAGAAAAGAGTTATGGAAAGTACAGTTGTAAGGAAACTTACAGTAAGTGGGTTATGTTTTATTTCTCATCGTGGTAAACAATGTGTTTATGCAGATTTTGATACGTCCATTTATAATTTAAGCTCTTTATGAAACCTTTGACAAAAATTGATGTAACTGGCTCAAAGACAACAAAAATTGTGCAATAATATTTTCAAATCTAGTTAGGAAAACTTTGTGTGCAGTGTGCATCTACATGCAGTTTCCTCACTATATATGTTGTTAGAGTGGTTCTGAACTGGTAACCATTACTGTGATGTATAGTTTTGTTTTACTTACTCATTGTTCATATAATTAAAGATACATATTCACAACATAGCTCTGTTATTAGAGTCAATTAATAATATATTCTAAAAAACATTAAAAAATTTACAAAATGTTTTATTTCAGGAGCCTTTAGTTTTGTTTTGTTTTGTTTGTCTGAAGCCGGGGTAAAAGAAATGCACTAGTATCTCTTCATCCATCTTTTGGGGATGTTTCCGCAGGTGTGAGTTTTGCATGTTGAGTTATTGTTGGTTCTCACTTCTTTAGCTGAAAAGTCAACCACAGCATCTCTGTATTAATATTTTAAATGGCCTTCAAATTTTGATTACCACCCGCTTATGTCTCAGCATCAATGATTCATTAACAGCAATGCTACAGTGTGCTGTCTTCCTGCCACTCCTGCCACACACCCACATTCACAATGACACATATACACACACACACTCCAGCATACCAACAAGAGTGTTAAATCTTTAAATCAACAACATGACACAAGGTATTAAAACTGAAGAAGTGTTACGATAACAAGATGACCTGCTGCTGTTTGTCTTTACATTTGTATGACTAGTAAGTGCTTTCACAATCCTTTATTACTTCTTGAAAATATAGACTCCTCAGCTTGTTCCAGATTCAGCACCAACTAGATAAAAGATCTTCTAAATGAACTGAGACATTTCAGTCTCATTGTAGCAAGAAAAGCTTATGCTGTTTTCATTTTGCCTGTACTTGTGGAAGTTATTAATTATTTCAGCTCTTGGTGTTTAGACAAACTGTTTACTTTGTGTGCATTTTTACATACAATCTATCATTTCTGAGACACTGCTAGTATTGCTTCTTGAACATTAAAACAAGACTTGGATTAAAACAAATGTTTGTGTATGAGTTGTGGAGGTTAAAGGAATAGTTCATCCAAAAATGAAAATTCTGTCATCATTTACTCACCCTCATGTCTTTGCAAACCTGTATAAATTTCTTTCTTCTGTTGAACACAAAAGAAGATATTTTGAAGAATGTGGGTAATCGAACAGTTGATGGTATCTATTGACCTACTGTCAATTGTTTGTTCTGTCAACATTCTTCAACAATATCTTCTTGTGTGTTTAACAGAATAGACTTAAGCTTAAAGTAATACAAATTTTATTTTTATTATCCTATTGGCAAAATAGTCTTACTAAATTTTACAACAGGAAAAACTATTTGCTAATGTGGTAAGAAAAACAAAAATAATTCAAAACTTCCACAAACAAGTCTTAATTTTTTATGCAATTTTGCAGTTTAATTTTTGCAGGTGTATCATAAGTAGAATTATAGCATGAGTTTTTGTTTGTACTGTATGTTTCTGTGTGTGTGTGTGTGTGTGTACCTGTTTTTCTTAAACAGGTACACACACACAGTTTCTTTAGACTTAAACCTGAATACACACAGACTCATGGGGACTCATGTCACGGTGGGGACCTAAATTGAGGTCCCCACGGGTAAACAAGCTAATAAATCACACAGAATGAAGTTTTTTGAAAATCTAAAAATGCAGAAAGTTTCCTGTAAGGGGTAGGTTTAGGTGTAGGGCAATAGAATATACGGTCTGTACAGTAGAAAAACCATTACGCCTATGGAGAGTCCCCACAAGAATAGCAAACCAGACGTGTGTGTGTGTGTGTGTGTGTGTGTGTGTGTGTGTGTGTGTATAAGTCAATGTGACCTTTAGTACTGCTAGAGAAAACTACTTAGCACAGGATATTTATCAAGGTTCTTTAGGGACTGACGTCTCACACCCTCATGCACAAAGCTAAAATTATTCACAGATTTATTTACTGCATTAAGCATGTGGCTCAGCATATTAAAAATGTGGAATAAATCAAATAGCAGTTATGTTTTAATTTATTCAACTGTATTATAAATATATGATGCATATTGTCAATTCTGTGTGATTAGCTTTTTTTTTTTACTACACTTTTTTTTCTTGTTCTAGTGTACAGTATGGGACTGGGATTCAAATGGCAAGCACGACTTTATAGGAGAATTTCAAACCACCTTTAAGGAGATGAAGGCGGCGATGGATGGGAAGCAGGTATAAGCATACACACACAGTCAGAAAACCGACCCTGCTTCCAAAATATAGATTTCCAGCTCTCATCAACACAAAGTACTTTTTTGCATTTTTGCAAGTACTGAATATAACCTGAAGCACATGGAACTGAGTAAGAGCAGTAGCATACTTCATAACTCCAGCTTATGGGTATGTGCAAAGAAGAAAGCCTTCATTAACAAAAGCTCATATCACATCTCGACTGGAGCTTGCCCATTGGCATGTGAACGGTTGTGGAAATTCAAAGAAGATTCTGTGGTCTGATGAGGCCAAAATGTAACAATTTGAGTCACAATTCAAAGCACATGGAGTCTTTGTAAACATTTTGCCGTTCACAAATAGTTCCTATCCAACCTGATGGGTCTGCAAGGGTTTTTAGATAATAATTCTGTTCTAATAATTCTGTGATAGAGACTTACACAAAGCAGCAAATTGGTGACCCACCCAGAATACTATAGCAACGGTATAACAACAACATAGAAACAGACTACCCGCATAGCAACACCCTGGCAACCACCCAGAGCATCCTAGTGTCACAGCATCAAGCTTTACACAGGCAAGCAACACTCACATTTGGTTGAGAAAATAAAAATGTATCTTTTTGTTCTTAATTAGCATACTTAAAAATAAATGTTTTCCCTTCGTCAGGGAGTGCATTGCATCAGTGAGTAAATATCGAAGTACAATTATATTTTCTACATTCCAGTTCCTCATGAATCTCTTTATTTTTTGTCGAGAGCCTCAGGTCTGTTTATGCAGCGGAAACTCAGTCAGTGTGAAAGCTCAACGTGAGCCTGCTCTTACGGTTATGCTGCGTTTTCTCTTGCAGGCGGTGTGAAACAAGCCTAACACTTACTTTTTATCTTTATATGTCTCACTTTCTCAGTTTTCATCTCCTATTCTCTACTCATACTGCCTGTATCGTAACAGACACTGAATTCATCATGTCATCTTCCTGTCTGTTTGTGTCTCTCACAGTTTTTCTTTTGTACTTATTGTCCTTGATTTTTTAGAGAATTGTTATCTATTGTCACCATGGACACAGTGTTACCTGCAGAGAAACAGAGAGAATAATTAGAGGTACTGTACGGAGTAGGAGGGAAAGGACACACCAAGGAATAAACTGCAATAGAAGAATAAAGGAAAAGCGGCAACAAAAGATGGCATGTTTTGACAGTTTAGAACACTGTAGTGATGAACTGAGTGACTGACTCGCCAACCATGATGTCTCCTGTTAAGTAAACTCTTCTTTCAGAAATTATTTTAATATGCTGATTTGGTGCTGAAGAAACTATTATTATCAATGTTGAAAACCACATAGTTTTGTGCCACTTGTACCACTTAATATATTTGAGAAAATGATATATTTTGACACATTTTCGATGAATAGGAAGTTCAAAAGAACTGCATTTATTTTAAATAAAAAATCTTATATTTTATTCTTCTAAATCTTATGTAGTATGATTATATAGTAAAAAATCTAATGTCACTTTTGATCAATTTAATATATCCTTGCTAATAAAATCATTAATTTCTTAAAAAATACACAAACACACACACACACACACACACACACACACATGTATATATGTATACATATATGTACACACACAACCAGTGAGACTAGCAGAGTCAAGCATTATACATAGCAGTTATAGACTTATACAGATATATTTTGCTTCAAAAAGGACACAATTGGTAAATCATTTATTTTAAACAATTCAGTTACATTTTGTCTCAATAGAGGCAAATCTCTGCATCCCTCTAGTGGGTGATGTTTAGGTGTCCACATACTTATGGCCATATAGAGTATAGACACACACACACACAATGTTATCGTGCTGCATACACTCTTATGCATCAGTCTATAGCGTCTGAATGAGTTCACTCTGTTCCGTCGCTTCTCTCATTTGAAATCTATTACCAGCTGTGCAGATTAATAGTCATTGTGTTGCTTTTAATTCCATTAACTTAATATTCACCATCATCCCCTTGAATGCTCAGAGGAGCAAAGTCGACAGGCTTCAACATACGCTTCTCATTGCAATTGTTAATCAGTGGAATTCCTCATCTGTCAACACATGCTGATTGCACTGCTAGCGTGGTTCACAAACAGGTGCTTCATTTTCAGCAGGATACTCGGATGCTTTCAGTCTCTAGTGGTGGAATAAATCTTCTCGCATGCTCTTCAAGACCTGATTTGAGATCTTTAGAACAGGCTGAGATAATTGCGCTTTCATCATTTAAAAAAAAACATCACAGATTTGAGGCAGATCTTTGGATTTTTGCTATTACTGAGCTATTGTATTCACACCAGAAATGTCAATGAATAAAGAATTGTTTGGCTTGGATGGACATATCTTTTTTGTTCTGACAGGCATCATCACAAGAGAAACTACAAACTGATCTTGGCCAAAAGGTGACTTATCAACACTGACATGCTTGTGAAAGTCTCGCCACTAGCTAGCTTACTGCCAATCCCTCTCACATTTTCTGAAAGGCTCAACTGCAGCCACTAGGTTATGCTGAGTCTTTTAGATATCCGTCTATCATTGTGCCTCTCAGCCTGTGGGCATCTTCCTCTCATACAGATATATCACAAGCCCACCTCAGATAAAATACCTGCAAGCCCAAGCAATTCATCTTGTGGCTCAATGGAATTCAATACAGAGCTGAATGAATGGCATAGTGCTGAATTGTTGTCTTACTGTTGTACATGTTTAACATGTTTCTAACAGATCCAGTGGGAGTGTATTAACCCTAAGTACCAAGTGAAGAAGAAGAATTACAGAAATTCTGGAATGGTAATTCTTACCATGTGCAAGGTGGGGAATTCCTTCACTTTATGTCTGATATATAGCACCATTATGACTGCCCCTGTAATCACAGCACAGTCATTTTGGGTTAAAAGAAATCGTACTAGAACAATTTTTTTTTTAAACACACACACACACACACACACATACATATATACATATATATATATATATATATATATATATATAGAAACTGACGATCAAAATGTTCACCTCCAATGAAATTGATATTTCTGTACCATTCAGTGTGACCTCCCCTTGTTCTCATGGTACCACTATCGCTGTGACTGTCTGGACCATCAGGCCCGATGTGCGCACACCTGTTTATATGTCTGTTTCTCCCGCACACACTGGCCCAGTGACTGCACAACACTTACCTGAACCCAGTGTTACTGCCTGGGATGACTATACTTCCCTTAATGCACTCCAGCCCTGTTAGTAACACACACACATATATATATATATATATATATATATATATATATATATATATATATATAGTATGATATCTGCTCTATTAAATGGGTTGGTCACTTTCTGACATGTAAACTAAGTGTAATAATTGACTTCTGTGGGTGCTGTGCAGTGATATTCACAGTAGCTATTGTAGGTGAACAGGTATGTTGTATCATAGCTGTTACTTACTGTATTTTTGTACACTTGAAATTATCTGTTAACCAGTCAGTATCCAGGACCAGAACTATCAGTTTAATAAGTGTTATTTTATCTCTGTTTCAGATCATAAAGATGCACTCTTTCCTGGATTACATCATGGGAGGATGTCAGATTCAGTTCACAGTAAGTAGTTTTGGAAGACATTTTATCTTAATGTCATTTTAGTCTTTAAGCTAAACTAAACTCCACTGATAGCAAGAGTCAATTTAGGCTGGATTTTGTATGTTGTGTTGTCTGGTGGTTTAGCTTCTAGCTGCATGTGTTTACACATTTTGTGTTCTCTGAATAAAAATTCCATAATTATTTACTCGTTTTAATTTTATTCCAAATCCTATGATTTTATTTCTTGCATAGAACACTAAAGTGAAATTTTGAAGAACTGTACTGCTCGCTCTATTTCCATGCAGTTACAATGAATGGAGACTGAAGCTTTCAATGTCCAATTCATGAATAATTGATTATTTAGATTCAGATCTTTTCAATTAATCATTTTACTCAAGTTCACAAAACCATCCTGAATGAATCAGAATCACTAATTTGATTGCAGTGGTTCATACAATGTGTTAATAGGTTTATGAGAATAATTACTTACATTTTAGTCTTACGTTATCGGATAACTTGAAATATGGTGTATACAAGTTGTATATACATTGAACACTTTTATGGTATTTTTTACATCCTTTTTGAGGCTAGAAAGTTGAGGGTAAGTAAATAATGCCGTAAGGGTAAGTAAAAAAAAAAAACATTTTTGGGTGAACTATCCCTTTAACAAGTGTTGTTCTGCAGGTGGCTATTGATTTCACTGCCTCAAATGGTGACCCTCGAAACAGCTGCTCCCTCCACTACATCCACCCTTACCAGCCCAATGAGTACCTCAAAGCGCTGATCGCTGTTGGGGAGATCTGCCAGGACTACGATAGGTGACCCACCAATCAATCCCTCAATCAGTCAACCAATAAAGCAGTTAATCAATCAAGCAACCAGTCAAGCAAACAGTCAATCCCTGAATTTTGCCAAATGAAATTTAATGGACTACTCCATCACAAAATGTTTACACCAGTTATTTTCTCAGTACAGGCAATTAACCAAACTTTCAGACTAATCAGGCATTCAGTCTTATGACTACCAGTGCCTGTTGGATGCAGAGATGTCATGTCAAGGATTGTCTTTCTACACTTCAATCACTCTATCGCCCAAGACATCAATTAAGCTCAATTATATTTGACCCCTCACAATCATTGAGGGGTATTATATTTGACCCCTCATTGCTCATCTCTGGGGCTCATGCTCATTAATCCTCACTGCTTCTGATCTGTTTCCAGCGACAAAATGTTTCCCGCTTTTGGCTTTGGAGCCCAAATCCCACCAGAAAATATTTAGCAGCACAACTGTTTTCAACATCGATAATAATAAGAAATAATAAGAAATGTTTTCTTGAGGACCAAATCAGCATATTAGAATGATTTCTAAAAAAATCATTTGAGAATAAAGACTAGAGTAATGGCTGTATAGAGTAAATAAACATACAGACCCCAAACTTTAATGGTAGTTAGTTAGAGAGAGAGAGAGAGAGAGAGAGAGAGAGAGAGAGAGAGAGAGAGAACCTTTAATTAGACTGAAGAGCTCAATTTCTGCACAGCACCATATTGACTCCATCTGCTTTACTGCTGCTCCCTTTTTTCATTAAAAAAACCCTAAGTTGCTGATGTATATGAAAAAGAAAGCGTGCAGTGGAAGAGCACAGCAAAATTATTACTTAATCAGGATTTGTGTCAAATTTTCTCATATAATATTAAAACATCCTTTTAACAATATAGATTTACTTAAGAAGCCAAACTGCATTAAATAAGGCTTGTTCTCAGAAAATAGTTTATTTACTTAGTTACGTACTAATTTGTTTAATAAAAAATGCATATTGTGAAATATAACAAATTACTGTTAAGTAACTGTTTTTTAAATATATTTTAAAATGGAAAAAGCCTTTTTTCAGCAACCATTACTCTAATCTTCATTGTCTAATATGCTCTGGATGCTCAAGAAGCATTTCTTATTTTTATCAATGTTGAAAATATTTTGATATTTTTATGACAACTACCATTCAAAAGTTTGGGGTAAGTATGATAAAATAAAAAGATATTAATATTTTATTCAACATTGATGTGTTGAAAAGTGACAGTAAAGACCATTTAAAAATAAGTCGAAAATAATTCCGTTTCAATTAAATGCTGTTCAATTAACTTTCTACTCATTAAAGAATCCTAAAAAAAGTATCACCGTTTCCACAAAAAATATTAAGCATCAAAAACTGTTTTCAACATTGATAATAATAAAAGACATTATTATTAATTGAGTATTTTATTAATTCTGCCATAACAAATACTTTACATTTCAAAATATATATTTAATTAGAAAATGGTTATTTTAAATTGTAATACTATTTCAACATATTAAGTTTTTTACTTTACCTTAATATTACTTTATTTTCTTACCCCACTGGCAAATTTAGTGTGGTTTATGCTGAAAATAAAACAAGAAACAGTTTATTGATTATAATGGGGCTCTGAGTGCAAGACAAAGACAAACACCTGGTGATCATATTAGTGCGAGTCTCTCACATTTGATTCTTTCCTCATTCATTAGGAATACTTTATACTGCTAATCCTGACGGATGGAGTGATCACAGATATGGCGGATACACGAGAGGCCATCGTCCACGCATCCCACCTGCCCATGTCCGTCATCATTGTCGGCATAGGCAACGCAGATTTCAGCGACATGCAGATGCTGGACGGTGATGATGGAATCCTCCGCTCTCCTAAAGGAGAACCTGTCCTGAGGGACATCGTGCAGTTTGTGCCCTTCCACAACTTCAAACATGTGAGTAAAAACAGAAGTATCTTAGTTCACCCAAAAAGAAATTCTGTCATTATTTGCTCTCACTCACATTGTTGGAATAAATGATGACAAAATATTTCCACACTTCTCTTTGTATTCACATTTGAATTCATTTTAAAAGAATCCTGCCAGGATCTGGTGAAACCGTAAACATAGAAAGCAAAACTTGAACGTTTTAAGGGATTACTAACAAGTCAAAGCCTAATGAACAGATGTTTCTAATGAAGAGGAATGCATCATACCAGGTTTGGTGATTTAAGAAACTGTATGGTACCTCTGGTCAGGGCATAGTCAGGAAGCCAGACTACAAGAGGATGCCGTACATCTAAAGGCATCCAGGTTTCTTTTCATCTCTCTCCTCTCTCAGGTCAGTGCGTTGCTCTCACATCTGTCTCACTGAGCTCCAATAACAAGCATGAACAGAGGGAAGGAAAACATCAAAGCTCTTAGATTTTACAGGCCTGTGTTTAGTTTAATTAAGAAGTGTGAAATCGTTCGTGTAGAACAGTCTTCATTATGAAAGTGTTTTTTTAAGAGACGTTAGGCGTATTCTGTCCTGCTTTAACCCAGTGAAATTCCTGCCGCTGAAGCGGAGTTCATGCAAATTTCAGTTTTTTTTTATTTCATTTTGTACATTTTTTTTAGTCCTGTAAATCCTATGTGAGTTAATGGGACAAAATTGTCTTTTTTTTTTTTTTTTTATAATCTCATAAAACAAAGCCTGGTATATCATTATTATTATTATTATTATTATTACTACTAATACAATGTTTTTCATAAATATTAATTTAGTCATTTATAAATCATTTATTGTCAATATAAAAGTGACAGCTGTGAGAAAAAAAAAATGTAATGCATTGGCACCAACACATGAGAGAGACCTGATTCATAATTCATTTCAATACAGTAACATTAAATTGTAGCTAAGCTAATAGTGCATACATTTTTTTTATGGCCCACACAGATATTTACTTTACTTTTAGTCATTTAGCAGACGCTTTTATCCAAAGCGACTTACAAATAAGAAAAAGTAATCAAAACTAAAAGCTAAAACTCTATAAATACTATAAATACTATAAATACATATATATACATATATATACACACACATTTAAGAAAATAAAAGAAATTAAATAAAAATGACAAATGCATACAACAACATTTCAAAACTAAACATTTAAATGAAAACAAAAAAATAAAGCTAAAAACAATTCAAAATATTAAAAGAACAAAAGGTATGAGTATAATAATGATTCTAACATAACACTAAGCCAAACACCAAAAAACAACTACATATGTGTATGTACAGCCACACACATATACATGTACATATATATAAATACATTATAT